GCGCATCCAAGACGCACCAGATGCTCCTGCGGCAACTGGGGAGGACGACGATGATGAGGAAGATAATTTCACTCCCATCACACAAGACGAGTACGATTCCATAATCGGGGACGTCTACGCCCTTCTCGTGCGCAGCCTGGTCGACTGTGGCTGTTTCCGCGACGCCTTCGAATTCTGCGTGCGTGGACAGGGTCTTCTAGAGGACATGCCACAGAACGAGCGCAACGTCTCCGCGCAAGCCGTGCTCAAAGACCAGCTGGCCATCATCCGGAAGAACTACGAAGCCCGTCAAGGAACCACCACCGGAGACGCCAACATCAACCCCAGCGCTCTGAACGCGCAAGGCTTCGCCCGCCGAGTCCTCTACCCCTGGAACGAGCACGAACCGGACCGCAAGTCCCCCGAGACTCTGCAGCTCCTGAACGAGCGCCTCAAGACCGTCGCGCCTAAATGCGAAGTCCGCGCCGTCGCCTTGCCCGCTTTACACGGCACCACCACCACCACCACCGAGGACGAAGTCTCCGTCCAACTCGGCCTCTTCGCCAAAGAAGACATCGCCCCCAATGAAATCATCCTCCGCGAATCCTCCCTCCTCACCGCCACCAACCGCCTGCACGACGACCTCTGCGACGCCTGCAACGCCCCGCTCCCCGATCTCTCCTCCCCCAATCCCCCCGTCGCGTGCGACGGCTGCGCAGACACCATCTTCTGCTCACAGGCCTGCCACGACGACGCGCAGCGCATCTACCACGGCGCCGTCTGCGGTCTGATGGAGAACCTCGAATCCATCGGCAAAGACATCCCTGACCCCAAGGACAAGGCCGATTACCTCTACCTCCTTCTTCTGGGCCGCACGCTCGCCATGGCCGCTACTCAGGAGCTGCACCCGCTCGATCTCCCCGAAGTGAAATACATCTGGGGTGATTTCCACGACCTCGACCTCAACGACACCAATACCACTAGTGAAGACCCAACAGCAACCCTCCCCTTCTCCTTTCAGCTCAACATCCTCCAACCAATGCGTCTCCTCGAAGAAATGGAAATAGACCCCTACGCTGCCCTCCCTCGCTTCGACACCTGGGTCTTGAATACCCTCTACGCTAAATTCAGGGGTACTGCGTCGGGCCGGCTCTCGACGTGGGACGGTGGTCCGGAGCTTTGTGCTGTGCATCCGCTTTGGTGTCTGGCGAATCATTCATGTGATCCGAATGTGAGGTGGGAGTGGGGTGGGGAGATTACGTTCCGGGCTAGGGAAGAGAGTGAACGGGCGGTTTGGAAGAGGGTTAAGGGTGAGGGTGAGAGTGTGCCTGAGGGAATAAGGAGACAGGAGGCGGGGATTAAGAAGGATGAGGAGATTCTTAACCATTATTGTGATATTGGGTTGGATGTTAAGGAGAGGAGGGAGTGGGCCAGGGGCGCGTTGGGCGGTTGGTGTTTGTGTGAGAGGTGTGTTTGGGAGGCGGGGGAGAAGTGATTTTCCGCCTGTTGTGGTTTGCGTTTGGTAGAGGGAGGAGGTTGGTTCAATGGGGTTAGGATTTTGGTAGTAGAGGAGTTGGGTTTGGGGTTGGGTGAAAATAAGAGGTTCATATAGTGGTAGTGAAAGATGGTTGGATACACATAGATAGAGATACCCAGGTTGATAGAAGAAGAAGAAAAGAATGGAAGTGGATATCATCATTACGTCTGTTCTTACTTAACGGATCAACCCATATGTGATTCCAGTCTTCTTTTTTAAAAAGAAATTCTGAAAGCAAGGACAAACCTACCTACAACTGGACAAATACGTGAGTAACAGCCTGTATGTATACCAACTAGCAATCCGTGTACTTAGTACTTACCGACAATTCATAATATAATAGTTGAAATCCAACTCTCTCACTTTTACATTGTATAATACACTATGTGTCTGTTCTACAATGCATCAATGCAATAAGTACTTATTTATCAATACATCCATAATGTAATATAAAGTAAAAAAGAACCCTTCCGTGAATTTCAAATCTTGATTTCAACCCGGTATAGAACAAACCTAAGCCAAGCCCTAAACATATACCCTGCAAATAAAGTCCATCTAATTCCCACCTTTCTCGCTTCCTATCACCCATTACATACAACTTTTCCCCACCCTAATCGCGCACCCGACGGGGAGGTGTCCTAGACGGAGACCTACGCCGTCTGGGCGGCGGAGACCTTGACGGGGACAACGAGTCAGAGTATCTCCGACGACGAGGAGCAGCATCGCCACGGCTACCGCCGCCACCACCGCGCGGCGGGGTAAGTGAGCGAGAGCGAGAGCGCGAACGCGAGACAGAAGCGTCACGGGGAGCTCGACGACTAGGCGGGGCACGACGTTCAGGAGTACGAGAAAGGGATCGAGACCCGGAGACACTCCTTTCGACCCGCCGGCGGGGAGGAGGCGACCGAGACTCTGAGTACCGAGCGGCTCCTCCGGCGGCGCGACGTGGAGGAGGGGAGACGGATCGGGAGACGGATCTGGTGTAGCTTCTGTCTCGGCGAGCGTGGGTGTCCCGTTTGCTGCGAGGCGGAGGGGTGACGGAGCGGGAGAGCGAGCGTCTGGGAGAGCGGGAATCATAGGAGCGATCGCGTGTCCGGCGAGGAGGGGGTGTGGGGGACACGGAGGATCGCCTGCGGGGGGACCGACTGTATGAGACGGAGCGTCGGCGGGATTTGGGCGCCGGGGATCGGGATCTGGAGCGCGAAGGAGTGTAACTATAGCTGCGGCGAGAGGATCCGGAGACGGACCGGCTGTAGGATCGGCCGCGGCTGACGGAGCGTCTGCGGCCACGGCCGGGGGAGGGAGAGCGGGAGTAGGAGTAAGAGCGAGGAGTACAGGTTGAGCAGCTGGTTGGGTGGGATACCACGGACTCGGAGTCGGAGTCGGCGCCGGCATCGCGTTGGGGCAATGCGGGCATGGTGGGCTTGGGGAGGTTCTTCAGGTGCTCGCGCATGTCCTCGGTCAGCATACCCATGCCGATGCTGGTGAAGTAGTTGATCGAGAAGCGGGTGTTGCGGGGGTTGTCCAGTGGGAAGAGGCCCTCGAAGCTGGGGCGCAGGATTTCGTCCCGCATGCGTTCCTGCAGCTTCGGCAGGCCCATGTGCTCTCCGAGGTCTTGGAAGAGGATCTTGATGAAGATACGGCTGCTGGATGTCGTCTCCTCCTCGTTCATGTGGATGATTGACATGACATGCCAGCCAATCGCGTCAGTGCTGATCATATGGCCGAAGAAGCGAGCAATGTTGCGGAGTCGGTTTGTCTCGTAGCGGTGGATTGTGTCATAGTACTTGGCGAATGCAGCTTCGAAGAGGTCAGACCAAAGGCGGTTGATCTTTGCGAATCGTTCACCGATCAAGCCGTAGAACTTCGAATACGTGCGCTCCTGGGAGCAACATTCGATGATCATCGATGGGAGCTCGGGCTCGAGGCCGGCGGGCAACGAGATCTTCATCAACTTGTGACAGCATTCTTCGAAGTCGATACTCGACATGATCGTCAGGTATATCGTCCTCCGCAGGTTCACAAGGTCTGTGTTAGTCTGATCCTTGATATCCATCTTCCGCTCTTCCTCCGACTCTTCATCGGAGCTCTCATCTGACTCGTCTTCATCGTCCTCCTCGTCATCACTGCCCTCACCCAGAATCTCTGCCTTCAGCTTTTTGTAGGCCTCCTCGTGCTCCTCCCATTCGGCATCGTACTTGAAGATATTGAGGGAATCTTGCGTCTCAATTTCGTCATCAAGTCCGATCTGGTGTGTGATTTGGTCTTCCTCCTCGATCAGGTCCAACTCTTCCTTGATCGCCGGATTGTCCTTGTACCTATCCTTCCGGACCTGGAACAACACCTCGATCATATATTGTACTCGCTTATCGATGTCGGCTTCGTGAAGGATATTCCGGAATTGGTCAAACACCGCCAGGGCAATAGGACCGCTCATCTCCTCTAGATGCTGACCTACCTCTCGAGTCAGGCCGACGGCGATTTCAACACTGTCATCTGTGGGCTTGTGAAGCAGCAACAGAAGAATCTGCGCGGCCAGCATCTCGTGCGCGACCTGCTGGTTGCACAGATGGGCAATGAACGTTGTGGAAGATATGCAGACTGCCTTGTCGTTTCTCTTGAACGCCTTTCGGAACTGGACAATGAGACGGTTGAGCAGCAGCTCGCCGACTTGGGGCAATTTAGTGTTGACAATAGCCGCCATCGCAGCGTAGATAGGTGTGAAGGGCAAACTGGCCGCCTGGGCTTTCATGATACTTCTGCAAAACAGACCGCGACCGCGCACCAAGTTCTCGCCAAAGAGCTCCGGGACGATAAACTTGATGTTGGAAACGTTGACCTTGTTGATGAGACCGTTGATCGACTTCTTGAGAGCCTCCCACGCCATCCGCTGGTACTCCTTGCTGGTCTTGTCCGTAATCTGTGCCTGCAGCGCCCGTAGTCGCGCGGGAGGAATATAAGTACCACCCGATCGCATGTTCAAAAGCTTCTCATATTCTGCTTTGGCCGCAGCTTGCTTTTCCTCCTCCGTCATCGGCTTTCGAGCAGTCTCCTGCTTCTCATGTTGGCGGAGGCGCTCCGCGAGCTGTCGCTCTCTTTCAATCGCGCGTTCGGGATCGATGCGCGGCGCATCCGCACCGTCTCTAAGTGAATCACCCGGGGGCGAGCGACGACGATTCGGCGAAGGAGACCGAGAGGGAGGTGAGCGTTTGCGGGAACCCGAGGCCTGAGGAGAGTAGGAAGTGCCTGGGGGCGGAGTAGGCACTCGCACCGCCGACTGCAAGACAACAGGGTCCGTCATATTCCTTTGCAGTCCACCGGAAAGAAATGGCTGTCAGTCGTGACGTCCGCAGAGAACACGACGTTGAACTGAAGCTCCATCGGGATGAGGCGTGAGGCGGCGAAGAAAGGTCTTAGCGCGTCGGTCACGTGAGAGCTTAGTCGCCAGGCTGGCGCCGGCCGCTCTCTACTATCGCCATGGGATGAGGAAGTGCTAAACAGACCAGCCGCCATCATCGCAGCAATTGTCACGCAGAAATCTCTCCTGGTAGCGCATCATCATTATGGTATACTTTTCGCATCCTGCCCTACAGCATTTGGAAATGTTTGAAACGCTGACTTGAATTGCGCCGTAGCTGGGCTCTATCGTCGGATCCACCATGCTCCTGGTCGCTACTGCGATCTTTCTCTACTACACCACCTGGACTCTGTTGATGGTACGTCTTCGCACCTGGGTATGATTGCTTTTCTACAACACCTGCTAATATTTGTTTCCGCTAGCCCTTCGTCGACCCGGGTCACCCTCTCCACGATCTCTTCCCTCCCCGTGTCTGGGCCATCCGTATCCCCGTTTTCCTTACTCTGCTCGGTTCCGCCGTGGTTGGCACGTTCATAGGAATTGTGATGATCAACAGCAACAAGAAGAAGGCAGCTAAGGCTAAGGCTGCGGCCAAGAAGAAGACCTAAGCTCCCAAAGAAAAAGAAAACCGACGTGGCGTTTGGAGGATGAGTTGGGTGGTAAACATGGCGACTCGAAACAGGTGGCATCATCTTATTCTGCATGTAACATTACTTTTGTCTGTCCTTGTTCTTCTCAAGCTTTCCCCTTGATTGGGTTGTTCTGTCAGCACAGCGTTCAATTACACCATCCGCATTCCTCGCATTCTGCAAGCGTGCCGCGTGGTGAGGTAGGAAGGGGGAGGCGACGGCAAATGACGAGTGTAGGCCCAGATGCTGCCCGGGTCACTGGGTGAAGCGTTCCTGGTTTCTCTTGTGCCTTACCCAGGGCAACAAGATACATGCTTAGCCGAGTCTATGCGTTACCCTTCCAAATGGGGGCCATGGCCACTATGTAATCTTTCAGTCATGGGCCAGTGTCTCAACCGATGACGATTGAGGGGGACCTTACAGACGATGGCAGTGCTCTTTCGCCATGCAGCCCCGTGACTCACTTCCGGCGACCAGCCACATCTGGCATCGGTTCTACCGCATTCCGGGCTTGAAACTATGTGATTGGTCTGAGACTATTGGCGGCTAGACCGTTGGGGAGAGATCCATCCAGGGAAACGGCCAGCCATGAATAGAAGGTCCGGCCCAACTAACTTGCCCCAGGTTCAAGTTCCAGCTGGCCCTGGGACAACACATGTTTTGTTAGTTCCGGTGGTGGTGGCTGTCTGGCTGCCGTGCCCAGGGCCCTCACGTGATGGGAGTGAGCCGTGTTTTGGACGTTCGATAGTTTGCAGTGTTTGTTGAAAGGATACCCCTCATGCGGGCAGTTCAGCACCAATGGGGAAAGGCGCCCATGGCGTGTGTAAGAATTGTAGGTTCTCCGCCTTACGGGGTAATAGCCGATACGGTACGGTAAGTGCAGATCATCGGATGCCTCCTAATTCCAGGTCCCAACCCACCTGCCTGGATGGGCGGACGTGGGAGTCGGAAGTGGGAGAAAGAGACACTGCAAAGAGGGGAAATGGATCCATCCCATCTGCAATCTAGTTACTAGAGCCCATGTATCATGTAGGAACCTTACCCGACTGCGTCACGTTATGACGGTCACGCCTGGCCGCATCCCCCACTAGTAGCCAATGATCACTGGAGCCCCGTCATGTGGTGGCCCTGGAACCTTATGGGAAGGAACGACGGGGGGG